CTGGAAGGACCAGCCAGAGGGGTCACCACTGCTGTACCTCAACTTCTGAACCAAAAATACCACCAGTAATAGAGAAATAAGCAAAGTGAAGAAGCCCAATGATCAGAGGAAAACCTTCAATCCTCAGCCCATAGACTCTGGAGCACCCTGTTCTGTCTTTCCAAAGCTCCTGACTGCAGGAGAGGCTTGGAGGCTTGGCAGGGGAAGGTCAGTGGTGCTGAAATCATGTCAGCAGAGCACAGCCTCAGAATCACACTGCATCACACTTGCCAGGAGCAGCAAGCTTTCAAGCCCTCGGGGAATTCACTGGTCATCCAGACTGGCCAGAAGCAAGCTTCAGCCACCCAAAAACTCTTTTTTCTACTGGAATGAAATGTGATCACAGACTCCCGTCCCTGAACCCTGGTTGATACTTTCTCAAGACAGGACTCCAGACACTAAGAGGTGTGGCTCTGTTCCCACATCCATCCCTCTCTCAAGGCTTCCCTTTCCCAAGACAGACATTCCCTCAAGTAGCCAGTAACTCTACTGTGGCTTCTGTATCTTTTCCTTCCCTCAAATACATTTGGAGGCTCTGTGGTCAACAACAAGGTGGGCAAGAAGTCTGAAGAGGGGCCCTCCCTGGTGGCGCAGGGGTTAAGCACTGCACTATGAAGCAATCCGCAGCCTCTGCAACAAGTTCAATTCCCGGCAGGCCAGGGAGCAACCCACACGGCGCAGCAGACCTCTCCTGTCTCGCACACTGCTTCCCTCAGCAGTGTATTTCAGCCAGTCTGCCTGTTCTGCTCCCCACTCTGTCTCTGGTGAATCTTTTCACCCTCCCCCCATCTCTGGCCTGTACCCCAGCTCTCATATGCATAAATAAATAAATCTTTAAAAAAAAGAAAGAAGTCTGAAGACCTGGGCGCACATTAGGACCTCGCAGCTCTGTGACCATCAACATTCCTCTTATCTCCTGCACATGTGCTCTGAGGTCATGGTGGGCATAGGAAGCAGTGCCCATTCCACTTGGGAGCTCCTGCTTCACACTCAAAAAACCTCCTCCAACTGCCAGGTGCCCTGTAGCAGTGCTTTGTGGGTGTCTGCTCCCTGGGAGGCCTCCACTTTGTACTTGTCAGAAAAAGCTTAGGAACAACACCCCATCTGAGTGCAGGTGACCCATGTTTGAGATCCACTTTCAGCACCTGAGCAGGGTGTGTGGGAATAATTTCTAACGTCAACTACATCCACTGTGCAGCCCCACCCCCATCAAATCCCAAGGGCTTGATACAAGACAGCCAATGGGCAGTTGCCAAGATAATAAACCAAGGGCTCCCCTAAAACTGTCTTCTGGAAGCAAGTTCAGAAAGAGAAATGGGTTCCAACTGAGCCAATGTTCAGACAGAAGATGGTCTTAATAATTTTAGATACAAGCCAAAGTCCAAAAATAGATTGTTTTTTCCCCAAAGCCAAGTCCATGTGCACCAGTTTTTCTCAGAACTGTTTCGTATAACTAGAAGTTTGTCTGGGATCCCCTGGAATATATTAATGAACACGGAAGAATGAGGAATGACTTTAGCAGCATTCCTCTTAACAGGGGCGAAGCCTGTAATCCTAGAGGGAAGCAAACACCTCACCTCACCCACTCTGGGCTCTGAGTCCATTCCCCCCAAACTCAATTTCCCAGAGGAGGAGGTGGGGTCTCTGGTGGACCTCCGACTCAGGGGACATCAACGCTCACTTCAACGTGGCTCCTTGTGGGGGAGAAAGCACGTTTCCCCGGCTTGTTCTTCAAAAGCATCCTGTGAAGCAGATGTTGTCATCCCAGCTTCATCCATGGTATTTTAAAGGACATATCCAAAGTCACAGAACTGCTAGCTTCTAGGGTGGTGCCACATCTTCAGGCTCCTTGTCCACATTGCTCTTGTGATTACACAATCTATCCAAATGTGTTGGAGGGAAAGGAAGAAAATAGAAGTCCCAGTAGTCATTTTTAACCTGCATCTAAAACCCAGTCAGGAATGCTTTGCCCAGAAAAGAAAATATTTATAATGGGATTATGACAGATTGTATTATTGGCTCATATTCTTCTCCCCTCCTTGTATTCACACCCTTTGACACATGACTTTGTAGCTACTCAGATGAAAGGAGCAGAATACAGTTTCCCACCTCTCAACTCTGTGACATATTGTGGCCAATCACAGGGGATGCAAGTGGCTTCAAGAGCCTAGCAAGCTGCCACTTGCTTTTTGGAAACTGCACCCTTGCCATGAGGTGAGCAGGTCTGGCTGGCCTGCTGAGAGATATGTGGAGCAGAGCCACCCCAGCTATGATGCCCAGCAAAGGGCATAGCCCCAGCCAGAGGCTGCAACTTTTAGACTGGTGCCAGCTGTCTGTGGAGCAAGGGCTCCCGGTCTCTACAGGGGCTGGTAGGAGGGTCCCACCAGGGACACTGTCAGGAAATTCCTATATTGGGAAAGAACTCAGGCCACACAAGGAGCTCCACACTTTGGAACTTTAGATATGAGCAAAATTATGCTAAAGAGTTTGAAACCTCACGTAGGGCTGCTACCTATTTGCTTTTCTGAGCAAAGGTAACATATAATAACTACTGCTTGCTATCAACCTCAATTCATAAATATAGGACACTGACACCGAAACTGAGGAAAGGATACCATCTAAGAATACAACTCAGTCCTTTCCAAGCAAAGGTAGTTGGCCAACCTCCATAAATGAGCTTTTTCCTTTCATCCTGTCACAGATCAATGGAAACTTTGTCACTAAATAGCTCCAGTCAGTGGATTAGCAGTTTCCCTGCAAGCTTTATGGTAGAACTGTCAAAAGAACATGAAATGCGTTACATAAATTGCGAGACTTAAATCATGGGTCTGTTTGTTCTGTGACAATATAAAAATCACATTTTTAACTCAAGATGGAAAATAAAACTAAGGGTGAATATGCACACCTATGCCATGCACCTCTCCACTGCTGCCACAGCTGCTGCAAAGCACTCAGCACCCCTGCCAGAGCCCCACCCTCCCCCAGAAATTTTGAGTTGCACCCTCAGGAGCCTAAGATGCTATTGTGCTTTGTGATTATAAAAACAGATGAAGGAAAAGGAAAACAGTGGTTCTAAGGAAGCTCACTCAGGCGCCGTAGCATTACACAAGTGAAACAGAAGTCAGAAGCAGAGATTCCCAGGACTGGTCCCAAGAATGTATGGCTCAGCACCACAAATGTTAACTCTCTTCCTTTGAGCCATAAGCAGACATTCCATCCTTCCTCTGGAAGAAAGAAGGGTTCAAAATTGGATGGTGGTTATAAAAGGCTCTGTTATCATTCAAAAATATTCCCACCATAGATGCCAAGCTGGCACTGGCCAGAGGCATGTGAGCAAACGGTCTGTGGCTGGCATGCCTCTCTTTGATCTCTGGCATGAGACCATCAGAGTTCCCAACAGAGGTAGCTCTTTCAGCCCGAGATCCAGATTAAAGTCCAGATCCCCAATGGGTAAGAAATAAGTCTTGCTGGAAGTCACTGAGTGTAGGCGACCATTCATCCGACTGACACATGAGGAAACCATTAACTGAGGTGAATTGTTCAGCAGCAGCGGTAACAGATTAGAAAGACGGTGAATTGTTTTGGAAGTGTTTCTGCACCTGACAGGTGGGAAGCAAAGATGAGGATGGAATGCAGGGATGCCTAAGATGGGCCCTGGCCCTGGGAACACATGGCCACCTGGGAAGCCTAGCCAACACCTCATGTGTCTCTGGGGTTTCTGAATGCCTCCAACTCACCCTCGCTCATCAGGCGTCCCAGGTGGCACAAGGGGTTAAGCACAGCACTGTGAAGTTATCCGCAGCCACCGCAGCATGAGTTCAATCCCCAGCCAGTCAGGGAGCTACCCACATGGTCAGCAGACCTCTCCTGTCTCTCCCACTGCTCCCCTCAGCAGTGTATTTCAGTCAGTCTGCCTGTTCTGTTTCCTACTCTGTCTCTGGTGAATCCTCTCACCTCCCGCAGCTCTGGCCTGTACCCTGGCTTTTGTATGTATAAATAAATAAATTTTAAAAAAAAATACTCTGCTCTAAGGGGACTCACACACCTACCAGTGTCCAATGGAGGAAAGCAAGACTGACACTTCATTTCTGCCTTCATCTGTTCTTCCCATGGATATTTAGGCATTAGGGAAAATGGACGAGGTGCTTAGTGTCACAGGCTTAGTCTTCAGGTAAGAGACAAGGCAATAACCAAATAACAAGATAAATACCAAGGGGATGAATACTCTTACGGAAATAAACAAGATGAATGGAAACAAGAGAAGGAGACTTTAGGTACAAGGTTCTAGATATTTGAGACGAAAAATGAGACTGTGTCAGCCATGCAAAAAGCTAGAAAGAACAAAAGCGAGCAGGGTAATAGAAAACGCAATGGCCTGAGATAGTAAAGAAAATGACTCATTTGAGAAATGGGGGGGGTGGGCAGTAAAGAGTTGCCATGTGCCAGGCCTAAATCAGGATCTGGGGATGCAGCACAGACAACGAGATGGAAGTCCCGCCCACCAGGAGCTCATGTCCACCAGACCACTGTGAGTCACTGTGAGCACAGAGAAGGTGCCACTAAGGAGGCTGGAAGGTGAGACCAGTGGGCAAGAGTGGTGTCCATCCCTGTACCAGAAGAGCTAAGCACAGGTTCACAGAACCAGACCCTGGGTCTCCTGGACTCCTACTCAGACATGCCATGCCTTGGGCCCCGAGGACCTCAATAAAGGTCATTCAGCATGCCTGCACATGGCTCAAGGAAGTCAAAACATGTGCCTTAAACTCACCCTTCAATGAACAAATAAAGGATCTAAATAGAGCCTCCCTCCCTCCACTCCACTCTCACCCAGGTGAGGCAGGAAGCTGACCCTTAACCCTGCAAGAGTGCCCATCTTTGTGGGTGCAAAGTTCCCTGATGACAGCAGTCCTCCTCCCAAGCCCAGAGACCAGTGGAGATGGGGAGCTGATCTGACATCCTACCATGGAACCAGGGGGCGATGCACTTGGTGCTCCTCTCGAAGCCAGCTTGGCGAGGCAGCTGCTCCTCCTGAAACCAGCGGACTATGATTTCTCTGGAAACAGGACGCAGTGGTCGCTCCCAAGTCCTGCTGAGAAGAGTGGGAGAGTCAGAGGAGGGGGGAAGGGAAAAGGAAAAGAAAAGGGAGGGGAGGGTAAGGCAGGGAGGGGGACAGGCCACTGTGAGAACAAGCATGAAGTCCACCTTCATGCCTGTGGGGAGGAGTAAATGAGTACAGGTACTTGAAAGCATTTTGCAGATAATAATGTACCAGCTGTTACTACTTTTCCCAAAAGAAAACTGTTGTCACTTGCTTTTGGAAAAGAGGACAGGAGGGGAATGTCTAAGCAAAAGCAAAGGCAGGTACTTTCCCTCTGGGATGGCCAGGACCTTAACATCAGCATCAGGAAGAAAGATCCTAACGTAACAAGAGCTAAGCTGCTAACATGTGACTGCCTGTTCTCGCCTGCCTCATCCCCCACTAAAGAGAGCTCTGTTCTTGGCCCTCGATGTCACACACACGCCCCTCCTAAAGGGACACCTGCCTTTGCCAGCTCATTTTTGAGCTTTTGTGAGCAAAATCATGACAGTGAACAGGGCAGCAGCCAGAGAACCTCAATTTGCTCTGAAAATGGCCAAGATTCACCACCAAGACATTAAAAGGATGAGGCAGAGGGAGGGAGAGAGGAAGCACAGCCCTGGTTGGCTTTTAATGGGGGTTCGGGTATGAGATCAAAGATACTAAGAGTGGAATGAAAAAGGGCGCTTGAAGAATTTCTGAGTAATGAATTGGATGTTTTTTGATGTTTTCTCACAAGTAAGCCAAGATTTTAATTGCTTTTGTGTCTGAGATGGTTCTGGCAGGCACACATAGGCTGGGCCACATAAGACCCATTATATTTGCGCTACACCACATGAAGCACGCTGAGTGCGCCATGGCATGGGGCAAGCATGCACCAACCATTTCTTGAATTAATATGCAGTAAGGTAGCATTGCATTAATTTATGGTATGAAAATACAGCATCTGCAGAGCAAAACCCTTTGGCCCTGTTTGAAGAAACACTGCCCTTTCACCTTCCAACTGAGTGACAAGTCGGTAAATCCTTTCTTTGTCACTGCATTCTGATAACAGGACTGGCATCTAGAATTCACCAGCGTTGTCATGGTTTTTTATAACTTCAGTGGCAGCTGATCCCTCACAGTTTCTGTATTTGCCCTGCACCAACACCCCAATGCTGAATTCAACGCATCCTGGCAAACCCCAGAATGAGTCCACATGGTCTATTTTTACTTGTCCTAAAATGAATCTACTTACACACATACACACAGCAGGGAAGGCTGCAGATTTTAGAGATGTCCTAGGGAAGGCAGAGGGTGAAGTCCTATTGCAGAGCTTAAAACCACCATTAAACACCTTTTTTTTCCCACTTCCATCATCTCCTTCGTTTTCCTTGACACCCCCCCCCCAAGCCAGCTTTGCAGCCTACTGTATCCCCCATCAGGATGCCATCCTTCTTAGTAACCTCGGGTGTCTTTCCTCTTTATTAAGCAGCACACTGAGCTCTGTCCAGCTTCTCCCTTACACTTGCATTCCATGTAAATACTGTGCTGGCGGTGGGGGGGGGGGAGGGGATGGGGGGGAAAAGCCTCTGGTGTCTAGGACTCCTTCTCCTTAGATGGCAAGAGAAGGTTATAAATAACAGCAAGGGAAACTCATTCACTCCTGTCCCTCTGTTTCTAAGGAGAGAATCCGAATCACAGAATGTAAACACCAAGATGGAGACTCCAAAGGCCCCACTCCTGCATGTAGAACTCTCTCCTACCAGCAACATGTGTCCACCCCTCAGCACAGCCAGAGGAGGGTATGCTGGCCAGTGCAAGTCCCACCGCACTATGAGCACAGAGAGACTAGTGAGACCACAGGACCAGCTGCCATGGGGCAGCCACAAAATGGAGCTGACATGTGGCCGCTCACAGTGCCTGGGTCTGCCGCTCCATCTGCATGACCTCTATCTCCCTCAGGGCCTCCTTTGGAGGCGCCTGCACCCCTATGACAACTACATGCAGCCAGGAATCAGGGCGCACCTCAGCCCATGTCATCCCGTTATATGGGCCTAAAGGACAAATTATCTGTTTCTTTCAAAAGCAGAAGGGGAGGAAGATTTTTCTAGCTATGTCTCCAAATCCAGGAAATATTAAAGAATATTTGACCTCATAAAGATCAAGAATTTCTGCATGACAGAAAACCTCATGACAAAAGTCAAAAGACAAATGACAAGCTGAGGGGGAAAGTTTTATTACAAACAAAAAGATCCTAATATTGGGCCTCCCCTGGTGGTGCAGGCGGTTGAGCTCATCACTGTGATGCTGTCCGCAGCCTCTACAGCACGAGTTCAATCCCGGCCGGCTGGCAAGAATCCCACAGGGCACGGTGGACCTTTCCTGTCTCGCCCGCTGCTCCCCTCAGCAGTGTATTTCAGCAGTCTGCCTGTTCTGTTCCCTGCTCTGTCTCTGGTGGATCCTCTCACCCTCCCGCGTATCTGGCCTATACCCCGGTTCTTGTAAGCATGAATAAATAAATCTAAAAAAAAAAATCCTAATATTTATGATATTTATGGAGTACCTAGAAATAAATAAGGAAAAGGCCAATAATATAATGAAAAAATCAATAACACAGGTGGGGGAAAAAACAGACATATAAGGAGATGCAGCCCTTAAACATACACAAAATATGTAATCTCACTGATAAAGAGAAATGCAAATTTAAATTTTCACTGAGAATTTTTTCTTATACAAAATTTGATAATGCACTGTTGGCAAGGCTGAGGGATGAGGGTGCTCATTTGTACCACCCCTGTGGAAGACGAGCTGATACTACCTGTCAGTATGTAAATTGACTAGCCAAGGGCTAGTGATCCACATTTGAGGATCTCTCATGTAGGTTAGAGTTTAATGTGTACAAAATTAATATCTACAAGGTTATTCATTAAGGGAATTGTTAGTAAGAACCAAAGATCTCAAACACTACCAATGACCCCGAAAAGAGTTTTTGATAAATAAATTATAGCACATCCATGCAGTGGAATATTATGTGGCTGTAAAACATATGAAATAACTAAATAGCTAAGGATTGATATTAAAAGACCTCCAAAATGCGGTTAAATGGGAAAAAAATCAAGATGCATAAAAAAAGAGGGGGAGACACAATTTTACCTTGGTAATTGCAGAATAAAACTGAAAGGAATATATACTAAGAACAACAGTTCCCTGTGGGGGAAGAGGAACTGAGTAAATGCAGGCAGGGATGGAGGTCAGTCTTTTCTCCAGATAGCTAATTGTAAACTTTCTGATTTGAGAATCATATAAATGACAAAGATAGAAGAAATGCAGGCAGGATCAGCACTCCCTAGACAGCAGAGAAAGGGAGATCGAGGTATGAATAATTCCAAATCCCAATCAAAGCAAAACACAGACAGCCCCCCCCCACCCCTTAACTGAGTGAATGGACTACTTCACAGGTTAACAGGCTCAGGGGGGAGCAGGTGCTTTTCTTCCAGCCTCTGAGCCCTCTTGGGGGGCAGTGGTTACTCAGCAAAGATAGGGTACAAATCTAGGGGACGGCAAAGGTGAAGAGGCTCCAAGTCACCTCTGCCCTCTGTCCTGGCAATCACAGGCTGTCACCTAAGAGTCCTTGCCAAGGCCCTGCAGAGACCAAGGGCTGCCGCATTCAACCCAGCGTTCATCTGCACACGTGTTGTCAGAAGTGGGGCTGCACCAGCACTAGCTATGTCAACAAAAAGCCACCAGCCCCACTGGGCCATATTTAACCCATGTGAGGACTTGGGATCTATGGGTCTTTCAGGAGCTTGAAATGATAAGCAAACATTTTGGGGCGTTTATGTACATTTGGAAACAAAATGGTAGTTTTCTTTAGGTTCTCAAAGGAATCTTTGACTCCAAAAAGGTGAAGAATTCCAATTATTAGAAATCTTCAATTTCCTCTCCTTCCCCTCTTGTCTCACACACAGACTTGGACACTGAGGTCTCCCAAAGAGAAATGATTTGTCCCAAATTTCACAGCAAGTCAGAGGCAGAGCCAGACAGAATTCTTCCCCTCAGCTCCCAGTCTAAGGCATTACCCTCACCACAACCAGAATGTGGAGTCCCCCAGACCCACCTGGCTGGCAGGGCAAGGGGTGGTGGTGGACCCTGACCAGGGAGGTGGTGATAGAGTCTTGCCTCTTGCTCCTGGCTCTGGCCAAGCTCTTGGAACATGGAGCTGAGGCCAGCGACTGTGCCTTTCTGGATGGCGCGGAGGGAGTGGCGCCGGTACTCATCCCTGGCACGCTGGGCTCTGCGACTCCTCTCCTCGTCGGCTGCCTTTGACTTGCGCACTGCAAAGGAAGAGATGGCACCTTTGCTGAGGCCCACAGATCAGGTTGCACACTGAGCAAGCTGGGACTGGCACAGGCCAGATGCCCTGACACTCACCCAGAATTCAAGATCCATAGGGACTCAATGGGTTGCAGGGGGGCTCCGAGCCCCAAATGTCATGGCAGGCCCCGCCAGCCAACAGCTCTGGGCTAGCCTGTCCCTGGGGGGCAGAAGGGTAGGAGGGGAGCACAGAGAGGGACAGGGAGGGATGGGAGAGGTAAAGACACTCATGCAGTTTAGGGTCATCTGGCTAATGCTGTGGCCTGTCCCATAATGACCAAGCAAACTTGGGATGGAAATGTAAGTCTTCATATAGGTTTCTTCTTAGGAGTGACCAGCCCATAGCAGCCGCTCAAGCTCTGCGTCCATTGCCCAGCATCAGGGCACCTGTCAAAGCACTTCCAAATAGCACCCACATCTATTATAGTCTCCCCCTGGCCAGGCTCCAGGCCCTAGGTTTTACCTGAAATACCTCATTGCAGACATTTGCATCAATCACCCAAGGAGGAGGGCCCATCACTACTTCTGCATCAGAGACTTGGGCTCCAGGAGGTTAAATAACTTGCCCAAAGTTAAATAGTCTATAAAATACAAAGCCAGGACTGGATACCAGGAGTGTATGACTCTAAAACCCACTCAGATCTTTCCAGTCCACATCCCAAACTTTCTTCCAGGTATAACTGATATCAGAGTCCCTGCTGTTTCTTACAGAAAATCAAAAGAGCATTTGCACCATGCAGTCCAACCTTCTTGTGTTATTCACGAGGAAACTGAGGTCTGAGAAGGACGGTGACTTGCCTAGCTGGAACAGCAGCCAAACTGGGCCAGGAGCCACCCTTTTCTCTACCACAGGATGAGTCATTGGAAACTAGTTCTGGTGCCCTTTCTCTTTGGTGCCTGTGGCCTTGACAGTACTGGAGGCTGGTGGGGAGAGGACCCTTTAGTAACCCTGTAACTCCACAGGCTACAAACTGCAGGATACCCCTCCCTCCAGCCTTCTGTCCTCTGTGCTCCTCAAGGCAGGGTCTGCCTCAGCCACATGGCAGTGAAAAGACCTCTGTATGCAGAAAGGGAACAAAACCTGGTCTAGAGGCAAGATCTAGTGTTAAAACCAATTATTTTGTAGTCTGGTTGCATCTTGTCAGCTCCTTATCTGTCCATAACACCCAACCCTTTTGTAGAGCCTTGTTCTAACTGTCCACAACTAGTGACTGACTGCCCTGCCCACACAGGCCACCTTCCCCTCCTGGAGCAAAATCTAATCCATATTTTGTTTCTACTCCAGCTCCATTCAGTGCGCACATAGCAGGAATCTACAACCCATCATTAGCGGACTGGATTCTGTTAGCATTTGAAGGATACCAGGTAACTCTGAAAGAAAGCTTTCCTAATTCACGTGTTGTCAGACACCCTTTCTCAAAACATAACATCCCCCAGATCTAAGGAAGGCAATATGGAGTCTGTCCCTATGGAGTCTGTCAGAAGGTTTATGGATGTGAAGGTCACATGAAGAAACTCCAGTGGGCTGTGAGTTCCCCGGGGCAGATAGGGATGATCGTTGTTCCAAACCATTGCTGTATCCCCGTGCCCACGACATGGTCAGCTGGTATTACGTATTCCCGGATGACTGTGCCCACTAAGTATTTAACTCTACGCAAGACTCTGAGCTAGATATAAAGATAACAAAAGCCAAATCCTTTCCTTGAGACACTCAGAAACAAGCTGGGAAAATAAAACAGGTAAATCTCTCTAACACAGTGAAAACGGGGGCCAAGAAGGTCTTGTCAGATTTCAAGGGCAGCAGCCTTCACGGAAGCTGTAGCCATCACAGCAGAGGGAGCACCTGACTGGGTCTGGAGAAAGAAGAGGGAGGAGGCCATTTGAGGGAGAAAAACTAGGTTTGTTGCCCCAGCAACTCCCTGAGAGTTTCCCATCAGAGAACATCAGGCTGCCTGCCTGGCATTGTCGTGAGAAGATTAAAGGAGGTTGGGGGTGGGCTTTGCAGTCATTGGACTATAAACTAAACCCTAGAAAATTGTGTCCTACAGGGCCCATGATCTTTGGGCATTTATAGCCCCTGAGCGGCAACAACACTCAGTGATAGACAGCATGCAGAAGGAAGACGCATGCAGAAAGAAGGCAGTTTTGGAAAATGAGCTAGGCGAGGCCCTGAGCCGCTGGTCACCTAAAAGTGAAACCCAGGGGCCTCCCTGGTGGTGCAAAGGGTTAAGTCTCAGCATTATGAAGCTATCAGCTGCCACTGCAGTATGACAATCCCCAGCCAGGGAGCTACCCACATGGTGCAGCAGACCTCTCCTGTCTCACCAGCTGCTCCCCTCAGCAGTGTGTTTCAGTAGATCTGCCTGTTCTGCTCCCCACTCTCTCTGGTGAATCCTCTTAATGCCCACACACCTCTGGCCTATACCCCAGCTCTTGTATAAATAAATAAAATAAATCTTTAAAAGAAAAAAAAGAAAAAGAAAATAAAAGGAAAAAAAAGTGAAACCCAGCCTCCCTCTTAAAGCCCAGCCCTAATCTTGCCATTCTCCTCCTCAAAAGTCTCCAGTGGTTCCCACTGCACACACAGATACAGGGCAAACCCCTGGGCCTGGCAGGTAAAGCCCTTAAAAGTGTCCCACCCGCAACTCTTACCTCCCCAGCCCAGTGGACCTCTGAGGTCCTCCCACTCTGAGCTCTGGTTCCACCAGCTCCCACCATCTGGAAGGCCCCTCCATGCAGCTGTGCTCCTGACTCAGATCAACCGTGATGAGTGGGTGACCAGGTCAGCTGGGAGATGCCAGGCAACAGCATGGAGGGCACCCAGAGGTGAGAAGGCTGCCAAGGCTGCAGACAGGCAGCAAGCACCCAAGTCAACCCTTCTGCCCCCCAGATTATGGAAGAGGATGTGGAGTCAGATGGAAGGATTCGGGTTCAAGGACAGCTCCACAGCAGCTTTTTTTGTTGTTGTTCTCTATTTCCTCGCATTCTTTTTGTTACTATTATTGAGATATAATTAATATCTGACATTGTATAAGTTAAAGGTGTGTGTTGATTTCATACATTTGGGTATTGCAATACGATTACCACCCTTACCAGCACCAGCTAACACCTCCAGCATGTCACATAATTAGCATTTCTTTTCTGTAATGAGAATATTTAAGATCTAGTCTCTCAGCAACTTTGGAACATAATACAGCATCATTGACTGTAATCACTATGCTGTGGGCTAGACCTCCAGAACTTATTCATCTTCTAGCTGCAAGTTTGTACCCTCTGACCAGCATCTCCCCAATTCTTCCACATATGCCCCCCAGTGCCTGGTAGCCACCATTCCACTCTTTTTGGTTCTTTTAGATGTCATTTGTCTGTGATCTCATTCGTCTTTTGTCTTTCTGTCTGACTTATCTGACTTAGCATAATGCCCTCCAGGCCCGTACAATGCATATTGTCACAAATGGCAGGGTTTCCTTCTTTCTCATGGCTGAATAATATTCCTCCCTCTCTCTCTCTCTCTCTCTCTCTCTCTCTCTCTCTCTCTCTCTCTCTCTCTCTCTGTGTGTGTGTGTGTGTGTGTGTGTGTGTCACAAGGTGAGATAGAGATAGATACAGATACAGATACATCCTTTTTAGCCATTCATCCATTGACAAACTACAGTCATTTCCATATCTTGGCTAATTTAAATAATGCAGTAATTGATATGGAAATGCACCTATCTCTTCAATAGCCTATTTCCATTTCCTTTGGATATATACCCAGAAGTGGAATTGCTAGATTTTTCCATAGTGACTGTACCAGTTTACATTCAGCACAGGTTTCCTCTTCTCCACATCCTTGCCAACACTCCACACAGCTTTCTTAAGAAAGTCCTTGAAGTCTCTAGGCCTGTTCTCACCTCTGTGAATATGCAAATAACATAAATAACTTGCTCTCTGAATTATTATGAAGAGTAAGGGAAACATATAAAATACTATAAAACATGACAAGATTTATCAAGTCAGGCCGCTGACCTTGACCCTTTAAATCTCCCATAGTCTGAGTCTGGAGTGAGGCTGCTCCGGCTTAGATCCTTGCTCCACGTGTGTGACTCTGGACAACAGAGTTCACCACCCCAGTCCTCTGTTCCCTCTTAAATAAAAAGAAAATAATAATAGTGCCTGCCTCATAAAATTGTTATGAGGATTATGGGAGCTAATAATATGAATTACTTAGAACCAAGCCAGGTATATATTAAGTACCAAGGTAAATGTTAAATTTTATTTTCATTAAGCCCCATATTTCCCAAACAGACCCATGGACAGTTCTACATCTTTCCAGAAGGGGGCACCCTTGTCGGTCAAGCACAAGGAATTTGCTATGAATCCGTGTATAAACAGTTTACCCTAAATTACACTTGGAAATCTTAAAAGATGACTTTAGTTTTTTAGTATCAAGGATGGCTTCAGACTTATCCCATCAATATCTCACAGGAAACTCTCAGCCAAACCAGAGCTCAGAGTTGTTTTTGTGTTTGTTTTTTTAATTTCTAACTCAGTGAAAACTCAAAATTAATGCTAAGAGCCACATTAGAAGCCACAAACAGCTTTTGCCCTGAGGCAGCAAGAACTGGACTGTCCTGGTGCCTGAGGATCCACTACAGGGGTGAGGTCCCCATCCCAAGTCACCTGCTTCTTCCCACAGTCCCTCATGGGGCTGAGATGACACCCCAGGGACTTGTCCCCCAGACACTGCAAGAACCTGCCTTGCACAGAGAACATTCCCACTGCTCAGTTTCAGGTTCTACAGTCTTCGTCTGTTAAAGAGATGAGGAGGCTCATCTCACAAAAATACTGTAAAGATAACAGAGCACGAGAACACTGTAGATTTCAAAAAAACAGGCAAAATTTAGCTATTAAAGAAATTAATCGACCACAGTGTGTTACCACTGTTCACCCACTTTGATGGTTATTATAAAAACAGTGG